GAAGATTTTTTTTCCTCAGCATGAAGGGGAAGGAAGGAGAAATCTTCATTTGCTTTGGAGTAATTGATTGTTTATACAGTGTATATTGTGCTTGTTAATATTTGAATTATGAATTGTCAACACGGACAAGCAATATAGTCAATAGTTTTAAAATGGTTCTATTTATAAAATAATTTAATAGCCCCCCTTTTTTTCTTTTTAAATTATAGTGATTATACCTTTGGTGTATATAGGAAGACTTTACTTGCGTAAATGCTTGCTTTTTGTGCATGCTTTTTAGTTGCAGTATATGCTTGTTATATTTCCATACATGCGAAAAAGGAATGCATTCCAGTACTAAGGATTATGTCTCTGGAAGAGTATGCGTTACTTCATATGGACTGTGTGGAACTAGATTTTCAGTGAATCTCTCTAAATGTGTTCACAATTGCCCATTAATTTTCTCTAGAACTGACAGTTTTTGGAGTGATTTACAAGTCTCAGGGCCAAATTTTATCTTGTTAAATGTGACATTTTTGCAGATATGTGCAGAGAAAAAAAGTGAAATGTGGGACACAGGGATGAGTCTTGGGTTCATGTCAAAATTACTATTCCTATGAACAAGGAGGTGAATGTTTACATTTGTGAATAAGTTTAAAGCTTTAAAAATCTATCAGAGAACCTGATGAAGGCCATCATGAGACAATATCATTAGTGCTACAGTTAATTAAAATTTCTCTGGCCCAAAAAACTGCCGTTTTATCACTTCCAAAGTCAGTGAGAGGAACTGTCATGATTGTGGGCTTGGTTGGCAGTGTTACCACCTTGTCAACATACTTTCATTGAAAAAAATTAGCATTACTGAGGTGATTTCTCTTTTTTTAAAATTATGTAACTGAATGTCAGAAAATTGGTAATATGTGGCATTCAACTTTATTAAAATGATGATCCTCATTAAAAAGAAAAAGCATGAAGATAATCCAACAATGTATAATTGTAAGTAGAATAAAGTTCACTCCAGTTTGATTAAATAGGGAATACTTTAGTTTGTCCAGAATTAAGTTAAACCAATGCTTTCAAAGTTGAATACATTACATGCAGCTTGTTCGCATTGCTAAAATTGTATGATAAAGAAACACAGGTGAATTGGAGTCTGAAATCCTACAAATGTTCTAGTTGTCAGTACTGCCTGACCATGCTGTGGTGTGAGTCATGTGACTCGGCAGGGAGTAGCGGTAAGGTTTCTATAATACTGCAATGAATGGGGAAGGGAGATGGCAGAAGAACATGCAGGCCAGTCAGTATCCATTTAAAAAAATATCATACAGAGGTAGAACTTGCCTAAGTAACCTGTGTAATATTGGTGCTGTTCATTGCTGTCTGACAAGAAAGCACCAGAGTTGCAGCTCTGATCCAGCTTGATTTTAATCCTGTGAGAAGTAAGAATGGTAGGAAATAAATTTGCATACAGTACCTTGGTGTTTAATTCCGGGTAGGTGGTATGATTTGACTTACCAATATGACTATTTTTCTTAAAAATATATATAAAAACTAGAAAATAACTGCTTATTTTTATATGAAGAATGGCCAGATTGGCCTTGAAGCATGCGCTGCTCAGTCTTCTTAGAATTCATCATAAGGAACCAAGACGAAATGGAAGTGAAATTTTAAGACAGAAACTATATTGACTTGTTGAATAGGAAAGTTTACTTGTAGACTTGCAATTTGTTTGAAAATCATGCACAAAGCAGGAATATTCATATATACTTTAAAGATCTAGCCTTACTGTTAGTATTCAACATAAAACATGAGCTAGAGTTTCACAATAAAACTCAATAAACAAATGTTTTCTATCCATCTTATATCACCCAAAATCTGAACTGGATCCAGATTTAGATGTGTGCACTGGGGTTAATGCAAGTGGACTTCACTTTCTCCTTGCTCGCCAAAATAATTGTGAGATGGGGGGGAGGGGAGACTTTATAAATCATTTAAATAAACATTTTAAAAAATTAAGATCAAGAAATCAAGACGAGAGTTGACTTACGTAATGACAAATTCATTATGGAAAATTTTGCATAACTGAGCTTTCTAACAGCAGGCCACACATTTTATTGCCAGGGCTACTTGCCAAGGCAATTATTTGTTATTATTAACATGGGCTACGCAAATTAGCCATAGATGAATAGCTTACAGAAGCACAAAGAGTCAGGCATGAATCTGAAAAGTCAATTTTGATCATTTTTTTTTTACTTGCATGAAAAAAAAGCTTCAGAACTAAATCTAATTCATTTATGTATGAAGGGAAAGCTACATGTTTTCTCATGTAATATCTCTGTAAAATTTAAGCACAAGCTTAAGGGCTCATGAAAGATCTTATTGTGCTTTCTCAGAGGATATTAAGATCCCACTAGGATTTTCTTTTGATAAGAAGCCTGTCATCACACAGGGTGCAATGCCAGTCAGGAGTAAAAGGAAACACAATCCTTGATGAAACTCTGCAACATCTCAATAAGAGGAGTAATATTGAGTTGAGTGGTAGCTCCTTCTTTCCCAAATCTTTCCTTGTTCATAAAGAATTCCTGTAAAGAAAGTGTGGCCTAAATCTCTCCTTTGGAAATCAAGGACAGATTTACAATCTTCAGAATGGGTAATTAATGTTATTAGATTTTGTTTTTGAGAGACTCTGGATGGAGAGACCCAGTGGTAGTAAATAGTAGTAGTAATTAGAAGAGAATGCACAGTTATTCTCATTTTCTCAGTTATAGAGATTCTCTTAAAAAAATAATGGGAGAAATAGTGAGAAAAGATGGGAGGATTAAAATGATGAATGGAAACTTTCTAATTTCTCAAAAAGTATTGATTGAAAGTATTTGTGTGGAAACTTTATTTTTTTTTTCTCTGTCTCTTTCAGCCTCCCAAGTACAAAGGAAAAAAAACTGCTCCAGAAAGTTAAGTGGAAAGAGAGGCTGGGGTCTCAGGATAAAATAATCTTGAGTTGTGAGAAGTTGGGTGGTATAAAATTACTGTATTGGAATGGATGAATGAATGAATAAATAAATAAATATTGCCTTTTTTCTCACCTCTGGAGATGGCAGCAATCTCAAAAGTTTATCTAACAAATGTCCAGTATTTAGATGTTCAATATTTAGCAGTATTAAAATTTAATCCTTCAAGAATTGCATTTATGAAATGATGGACAATTTATTTCCAAAGTAACTTAAAACAACATCAAAATTTTAAAGAAATGCAATTATACCATATAACTATATGTTAATAAACATTAATGGAAGATGATTGACGGTGATAAAGAACTCAAGAAATTCAAACTTAAGGAATAGTAAATGGCTTTTTAAATATCGTAGTATAGTTAGTGAAATATTTATGGATTCTGTTGAGCCATGCATAAAAATCCCTGAATAAATCAAATAAGCCATGTTTAGAATCAATTAAATCTTTCATTGCATAGCTGTATGAAAACAAATCTGATTAAATCTTTATTATGGTCAGACCAGCATAAGGAAACTTGATATGGTCCTTAAAAAAGTATAAAGTGTAAAAAAGTATAAACATCATGACTAAAAATAAAAATTTATATCTAAAAGAGAGATTTAAGCAACTATTCAATTCTTCCCTGGAAATAAATGAGATTGGAAATTTAAATTTCTCTGGATTACAAACTAAAATATTAAAAGTTGAAAATATTAGAAGTTGTTTGATAGAAAAAATATCACAATTTTATATTGCCTGAAATATAATATTAGATTAAAGAAAAGGAATATGAGTCTTTTTGGCTTCGAGGACTTAGCTTTTCATCTGTAAGGTTTCTAAAACTGTTCAAACTATTATTTTGTTGATTTTTTTCATCTCAATTATTTTATTTTAATTACAATGTTCCATGGTTTTATACATTGCTCTGGAAAAATCTTTGCCAAGAAAAGTAGAATACAAGTTATATAAAATAGCTAATTAATTATCAAATTATATGTCATTTGGTATTTTTAAAAACTAGGGTAGCTAATCTGGCCCCTTATAAACCAATCATTAAATTATAAGTGGCTTCTGTGAGTACAAATGGCTCAGTTTTTTCCTAGCCCAAGGAGTATTTTATTTCAGTTACATCCCTCTGGAATGAAAGAGATCTCTATCCATTACCTAAACAATTAAAAAAGATTTCATAAATAACCAGATTCTAATAATAACCAGGTTCTAAATCTGGCTTTAATGAAACAGATTGAAATTTCTCCTCAAGGTAATACCGTAAATGCAATTGAAACCACAATGGCAATGGCAGACATACTTCACCAAGAAAAATTGGGAAAAAGGAAAATGGCTTTATAGCTGGTTTGGCATGATTTAAGACTGTGCAATGCTTTGATCCTTCATTAAAAAACTTCAATCTCAAATTATTTACAAAATAATACAAAGAAAACAAACCAAGTAAAATAAGTGCACCCACTTTTTGTGTGAATGCTAGTTAGTATGAGTGTGCAGAATACTGCAATTTTTATCAAATTTTCATAATAAGTCCTCATTAGCTCATTTAGAAAGTATAAAATTAACACTGAGAACATGATTGATTTACATTTAATGCTGCAAGTTAGTTTCCATTCCATTTGAGCCAATTTCTAAATGCCGAAGAACAGAATGGCATTTGAGTCACCTCTCAATGGACAGTTATAATATAAGCTAAAGAGCTGTGGAGCATCTTCTAGTATTTCCTGAAATTCTGCTATGAATAACAAACATTTAATTGCAATCCTGTATTTTTTCTGTAAATTAGAAAAATAAAAACGTTAATGATGTTGATGTTAATCTTCTGAGAAAGGCCAACATATGTAGAATGATCTTAATGGACGATTATAATATGTTGGCATTCAATACGTACTATATTAAGTAAGATATGTGGATTTATTTGAAAAGGTATGAAAACAGTAACCTGTCAGTTTAACTTTTTAATAAGTGCAAATCATGTTTTGAAAAGAACACCACAATATATGTGTTCTTATTCCAGGACTTACCTCTTTGCTTTCTTCCAGATCTGACTCACTGCTAAACTCCTCTGTATTTAAATTTTCAAAATCTGATTCTCCAACAGCAATCGGTACTGTCACAGTTACACTTGGGTTATTTATGAATGACATATAATCACTTTCATCAATGATGTATTTTTCCACGCTGCTTCCTATGCCGCTGGTAGTCCCATTGCCATCTTTGAGATAATTAAAATCTTTGCCAATATCTACTATCACATGATTAGAAATGCAACTGTCTTTCTTGTTTAGATCTTCAAGGGGCTTGATTTCATCCAAAGCCTTTTGTTTTCTCACAAACGCCTTTTGTACAAATTCATGAGCTTTTCTTTTTATAAAATCTATTCCTTTCTGAATCCTAGCCACTGCAATTTGGAGGTTGTTCATTTCATTATCATCATCTGTAGCAGCAAGATTGTCTGAACTGAAGGAGCTCAGGAGCAAGGCCAGAAAAAGATTCAAAACCTATTAGAAGAAAAACAGGGTCACTCAGTTTATCATGTTATTGGCCACAATGTTTGAATATTTTGATGCAAATGTTGCGTCTTCTTGATTACTCTTATATCAGACTATTTTAATGCCTATGTTCTGCTTCCTAATCTGATATCTTTTTTGAACATAAGGAACCAACACTGAAATAGATCAGCATTCTTATTTACCCACTTCTTTGTTAGGTTATATTATCTAGCAGAAGATGTATTAATTTGATTGTTTAAGATTCTCTAACACTGTTACTGACTAAACATAATAATTCAGATTTCCTAATCATGATTTGCACTTGTATCTAATATTAGCATCCTTCAGAGTCAAAAAGATGTTCTCTACATGTAGCATAGACATCATAGAGTTAATTAGATCAGTGATCGGACTTCATATAAAGTAAGGTCCCTGTGTTTCCCTGATAAAAATGGATAATAAGTCCATGACAATTATAACAGAAGTACCCTTAAAAAGTACTCTCCTGCCCACTTAACAGTTTAAAAGTATGCAAAGGTGAGTAAATTAATAGGTACCACTTCGGTGGGAAGGTAACAGTGTTTCATGTGCCTTTGGCATATAGTCATTCTGACCACATGACCACAGAAAATGTCTTTGGACAATATTGGCATCCTCAGCCATGAAACAGAGATGAGTACCACAACCTCAAGTAGGACACAACTGGACAGAAAATTTTTACCTTTTACTCTTAGAAAAAACAACAACACCCTACTATTTTTGAATGTTAAAATGGAAAGATTTTTTTACATGTACAGAAAGGCAGGGATATTTTATATGTATTTTGTATTTGCACAACCTTCTGACTAGAATAGAAAAGTTTAAAAAAATTATCAAAACTGTTTTAAATTTTAAATTTATGCCAATTGTTCAATGTCAATATTTAAAGAATCCAGCTGTAATGCTCTACTTGCCTTAAGTGGACATTTGTTTGATACGTACCACTAAATTACCAATCACCATGACCATCATGAAGACAGTAAGGCACATGGGTTGTCCAGCAACCTCCATACAATCCCACATAGTCTCTATCCATTCTCCACAAAGAACTCGAAAGACAATCAAGAAAGAATGAAAAAAATCATTCATGTGCCAGCGTGGGAGTTCACAGTCATTGGAAATCTTGCAGACACATTCCTTGTAGTTTTTGCCAAACAATTGCATTCCAACTACAGCAAAAATGAAGACAATGATAGCCAAAACCAAAGTCAAATTTCCCAAGGCACCGACTGAATTGCCAATAATCTTTATCAACATGTTTAATGTTGGCCAAGATTTTGCCAGTTTGAAAACTCGAAGCTGAAAAAATAAAAGCACACAGGCATCAGTATCAGTGTTAATTACTTTTGATTTTAATTACTTTTAATTCATAATAAAGAAGAGTTATCTGGTGCAGAAATTCTGCTCCTGAAAATGGACACTGGATTTAGAAATCCATGTGAGGGTTCGCCTGAATATGTAAAGTCAATATATACAGTATTGGTAGCTTTAAGTAATTGTGTTTGAGACTCAAGATGCGTACAAACCTATTTTGGAAAATATCTTATTGGTCTTAATAAATTTAATACCTAAGAAAATATTGATCAATATTTTATATTCTGCTGTTATATTCTTCATGCTATTAGCATGACTTAAAATATGACTTAAAATATGACTTATTTTATTTTATTTTTGCATAACAGTCAGGTATCAGAATATATATATGTATATATGTGTATATGTAAATTTGATTACTCTGAATACATAATATGATCAAAATGTTACTTGAAACCTCCTATGGATATTTACCAATCTGAAGGATCTTAGAACTGATAATCCTTCCACATTTGCAAGACCCAACTCCATCAAACTCAGGCTGACTATGATGCCATCAAAAATATTCCAGCCTTCTTGGAAATAATAATAAGGATCCTTGGCAATTATTTTGAGAAACATTTCTGCTGTGAAGATGCCAGTAAACACCTACATACAAAAAAATATCATTTGTTGTCAGTCCTAAATAACAGTGAACAGTCTATTCATAAAAATGTTGTTGAGAAAGATAAAGGAAAATGTAAAAAAGTATTTTCAATTGAACAGTTTGCTATTTTGAGAAATGGAAACATGTATTTTGATATGAGCATACCACTATTTTTGTATATCCTTACCACTAGGCATAATATTGTCTCACCCACTCCCTATTCATAAGGAAGCTATCCCACAAGTTTTTTTTCCAGTGTTCTTCATCTAGTAGAAGACAGATCAGGATCTAGAGGTAAATCTCTATAATAAATTAGCTAACATTTCTGATTGACTTTCCCTCCACTAGCAATAGCAACTAATAGAAAGATCTATTGAAAAGTGGAAAATAATTGGGAATGAATATTTGTGCAGAGAACTTTTGAATTTAGTTCTGATATTCATCACAAATTCCTGGGCTAAATATATATAAAGTACTCAGATTTATTATGTACTTTATTCTTTTAACTATTTGCCTATGCCATTATTTTGCTTCTGAATTCTTTGCTGGAACTTCTAGATTCTGATCTCTGCCCTCCCACCAAAGACACCAATCATAAAGTATGTCCATTTCTTGTCTATTTTATATGGTTGTGCATCTCTAGAATTACTCACTACTTTTTCTTTTAAACGGGTGATTCCCTGGATTGAATATAGGCATGCAAAGCAAGGTCTTTACAATCAAGCTTCTTATGAAGAGGTGATTGTGAGCATTTATATTTCTGAAGAAGTTACAGTTTTATAACCCCAACTCACCACAATGTATTCAGTAATAAAAGAGTTAAAATCAAATTATGGGTTCACCTCCTTTACATTTTACCAACTGTAAAACTGGCAATAGAAAAACAATGTCTGTTTGTTTCTGTCTGCCTGGATGATTTACAATTAAAAAAATATGTTGCTTCATTAGTAGGGTTTCTTTCAGCATTTTGCCTCAAGACAGGCTTTCTGATGGGCAGCTAAATGCCCATAGGTTCTAGTATCTCTTATTCTGCAGTGTTCATCATTTGTCCTCCTGACTCCCCTGTAGCTGCTGCTGGGAACAGCAGTGAAGAAAACATTTGACACCAATCCCTCTAGAAATTGCCAGATTTTGTAAGCAGCAGATCTCATGCCCTCCTTGCACTTCAGCTTCATATGTAGAATTCAAAATATTTCTAGTATTAAAATCAGTTGGATTTCAGTCATGGCATATTGATTTGAATGGAACCCTGAAGAATGATTTAAGCTAGATCTAAGCAGAGTCCAAAAATTCAGCAATCTCTCCAATAAATACAATTCTTTGCTCTCTTATGGGACTGCGGAAGACTTACCAAGTTTCCAACGGACAGTACATTATTAAACTGTTGAGTCATTGGGTAATGTTCCATTGCCATAAACAAGGTATTTAAAACAATGCAGATGGTAATAGCAAGGTCAACAAATGGATCCATCACAATCAAATTTACAATATGCTTTATTTTCAGCCAAGGAGTCCAGCAATCCCAGATTAAGCACATGTTAGCAAATTTGTACCAGCAGGGAGGGCACTTCTGCCTGGATTCCTCAAGTTCTAGAAAGAGTGAAAAGAAAGCATATGGAAAGAGAACATTCAAAAAGCTACCCAATTTATCCATTCAACACATACGTTAAGAACAGTGGTGAAATCCAAATTTTTTTACTATCAGTTCTGTGGCCGTGGCTTGGTGGCTGTGGCTTGGTGGCTGTGGCAGGGGAAGGATACTGCAGAATCCCCATTCCCAACCCACTCCTGGGGGAAGGATATTGCAAAATCTTCATTCCCACCCCACTCTGGGGCCAGCCAGAGGTGGTATTTGCCAGTTCTCCGAACTGCTCAAAATGTCCGCTACCGGTTTTCCAGAACCTGTCAGAACCTGCTGGATTTCACCCCTGGTTAAGAAACCAGCACAACGGGGATTCTAGGAATAACTTCCCTCTGAAACAAGGGCTCATCTTATTTTATTACAAATGGACAGAAAAATGCAAACAACTATTCTTTTCTAAACATTGATTGAAAGAAGAGGCATATTGGCAATATTTTTCTTTTGTGTGCAGTGGAGACAAGGGATCTTCCTCTGTCTTCCTCTCTGGTAGCCACATATCAATGACTTTCTTGACTATAATTTAGGGCTGGGCAAGTCTCCATAGAGATGCCCTGTTTTGACAAAATTCTGAGAAGAGAATCCATCCAAAGTTGCTTCATGAAACAGCTCCACATTATTTGTATTAGTGCATCAAAATGGCTGTGTTACTTCTATAAATTCCACAAGACGATTTTTCTACAGTTTCCTCCAGGACTCCTGCAACCTTCTCTGGCACTTTCAGAATATGAAAGAGGATTCTGTACATGGAAGTGTCAGAGAAGCTTCTGTATACCTGCTCTATATATATATCCTGACCCCTCTTCTAGTTTTTGCAAGTGCAGGATGAGGCAAAGAGGAGGAAGAGGTAAAAGATTACACTGAAGTGATGAGGCAACAGGAACCCCCCTTATCAAGGTAAATTGCATGCATCTTTGTTGAGACAAGACACATCATTTCTGGCAAAAGGCCAGAGTTTCAATTGGCATTTAGGAAACAGGACTACACACCGATCTGGAAATTCAGGTTTTTCCCTCTGAATTATTTTTTTTTAATTTGATTTATATGGCGCCCTTTTCCGGAGACTCAGGGCGGCTTACAATGCGTTAAGCAATAGCCTTCATACTTTTGTATATTTATACAAAGTCAGTTTATTGCCCCCACAAACTGGGTCCTCAATTTACCTACCTTAGAAAGGATGGAAGGCTGAGTCAACCTTGAGCCTTGGAGAGATTCGAAACAGCAGTAATTGCAGGCAGCTGTGTTAATAACAGGGTGCTTAGACCACTGTGCTATCAAGGCTCTTTTAGAAGCATTGTTTACATGGGATGCTTACCTTCCATTGTATTGGTAAGTATACTAGCTATACTCATTGCTCTTTGCCTTGCAGTAGGATCAGAGAGAAAATCCATTGACATGTGGTAGGAACTGGAGCGTCTTTTTCTTAGTTCTGTTTCTGTAGTGGTACCCTGAAAGTATAGGATTTATGAATTGGAAGAGTATGGTTATTTTTTGACTTGTAGAAATAGACTACGCATGAACAGAATACTAAAGGTGGCAATATTAAATTCTTTGATATATTTTCCGCATATAAAAAGTGAGTCAGAGAGATAATTTGGTTTGAACAATCATTTCTATTTTCAAGCTTAGTGCATCTTGGCTCAATCCTTGTTTGCAAAAGTTTCCCCAGAAGTAGTTACTGAAAATATTAACTCTCTGTAGCCATCTGTCATCTGGATTTCTGCAGCTCAAATATTCCTAATTAAGGAAGCAATCAATTTAAAGATGCCTTAAGGATTAATCCAAGGACTTTAAGGGTTTAATTAATTATATTTGCATACAAATAAAGTTACATCAACTTCAATTTATAATGCTCAAATTTATTGTGAGCTAGGCTTATAATTTCCCCGTTTTTATTTCTCCATCCTATATGAAAATGAGGAAAGCCTTTTTAAGAACCGAGAAACAAGAGTCTGGTATGAAGCTCATTGGGCAGCATCATTATCCCTTCTAGTAACTGTCGCTAATGTCTAAAGCTACTACCGGGTAGATCTACTTTGTATAAATCTGCACAATCTGGACATGGCAGCAAAGGGTTCCTTTTCTGTATTTTTGCTGCCATTTAGTGGCCATTTGAATTTGTGCAGTCTGGATTTTCACTTTTTTTAAATCAGAAACTGTTGGAATCATATTATATGAGGAAGCAGCATTGCTCTGACACTGCCTTGAGTTAAATACAGTATTGTCAGCCTAATTTTCTGTCTTTAGCAACATTTTTTTAAAAAATGAGAACATTCCCATCAGAACAGTGCATCATCATCAACAGTGTTGTTCTTCTGGACTAAAAAGAAAGATGGCTACTGACTGGTATCCTTTAGGGAGAAATACTGAATCTCTTAATCTCACTTCAAGAGAGTTCTAGTTCTCCATTGCCCTTTAATGTTAATGTTTCTTTGATTTAGTTACAGGACAAACTGCTGAAGCACTGCTCATGTTAACACAGTGTTCCAAGTTATGCTTACAGCCATTGAAAAATTAAACAGGAACACAATGAAACAAAATTCCTTTATTTAAACTACATTTTTTCAATCTCCTTAGTCTATATGCCCAGTCAGATGGCCACATTAAGGAACTAACCACTGGCCTCTGAGTTGCCAGAAAAGTTATGCCTGAATAAAATTTGCTGTCTCAATTGTCAAGCTCTATTTTGCCAAAGTAATATGACTGGGTGATAAATGTTGCTCCTACTGTTCTGATGAAAGGTAGATTTAGGAAAGCAATTGGTCAATTTCCCTAGCTTCATTTCCCATCCTACCAAACACTGCTTTCCAGTACGGAAGCTATCAGCAACCATTCCCCCTAAAGTGGAGCAGGGCAGGATCAAGCAGGGGCCTGGAATAGGACACTGAGCCACCAATCAAATTGCCTAATAGTTTGCACCTGCTCTGCGTTTGGCTTTGTCAATTGGGCTATTTCTGAATGTGAATCCAGCAGTCTTCTGAAAGAGCATTAAATCCTGAGTGTAGGATGAACTTGGAAGCAGAGATTGATAACAATTTCCAGGTCAACTAGAGCTGCAAGAAAATAGCAGTAATGACAAGTTAAGTCCTGTCCTAAGAGATGGCAACACCTAGAATGAAAGAGATGGAATGAAATAGGCAAATGGTATTCCTTTCCCCCAAAATAATAGAAACAGTAGAAGTAGTATGTCCAGACAAAACCTCATTGGCAGAAGCAGAAAACCTATAACCACCCAGTGATGACAGGACACAGCTGGAACAACCTGGGATGATATGACTCTTTTTCCAAAAGCTGAAAGGAAATACTCTTAATTCGCCCTATGATCAAGGATATTTCTTATCTCTTAATAAGGATATTTCTTATTATAGGAAAGCTCTGAAATTTAGCTTAACAGGACATGCTCCTGCATTCTTCTGAAAGCCTATTTTGAGGTGCTTTTTTAAAGTTTATTCTAATTTACAAGCTAGTATAGTAGCCAAGTGCATTTCTAGTTTAAACTGCTATGATGCCAAAATGCACGTAGATCTGAATTTAAGTTTCAAATCAATGCTGTTTTGTCCATTGCAAAAATCTACCACCAACCCTTTTGGGATTTCTGACCCCTTGTTTTGCTGTTTTGTGGGCTTGGGGGAATTTAACAGACCAAATGAATGCTTAAGCATTGTAGGTGCGTAAAGAACCCATTCCATCTCTTAAAATTCCCGAAAGCAATTCCCTGTCAAAATTGGTCTGCCAACTTTCTTCACATGTTAGGCAAAGTTTGGTACAGTCCCTGAGCCAATGATAGTTGCTGTTCTGATATCTCATTACCTCAGGAAGAAGCTGCCCAGTGGGTGACATAAGAGGAGGAGGCCCGCCAACTAAGGAAACCACTCCATTGCAGTCCACAGTGCTGTGCATCTTCCCATTTGCTGGAAGGATAGACATCACCCTAGATGATCGGCTGGCCTGACTGATGGTACTGTTGCGACGCTCACTGTGCCGGTGAGGAACAAAGAGGGAATCTCTCCTACTCTCGTTGTCTTCAAAAGTGCTGTGCTCATCATCAGCAAAATCATTCTCTGATCCAAGATCCTTTGCTCGGCCTCTGAAGCTGAAGAGACTCGTTTTGCTGCTACGCCTGGGAGAAAACAGCGATCCGCGGATGCTCAGCAAAGACTGTAAGGGAATACAAGATCAGAAACATCCATAAACAGATTGAAAGGTGATGGGAAAATCAAAGATCCTTCTTAAGTATAAGGAAACGAATGAACACAGATGTTTTTGGATCTCTCAAGAGTACAGGAACAACCTCCATTATTATTATTATTTAAAATATTAAATAAATATTTATTAAATAATTTCTAAATTAGTGCCACTATTTCTTTTGGCTTTACATTCTATATGTAATAAATCATAAAGGGTCCTTCTTTGAGGGAGATGGGCAGTTCAGAAATGTGAAAAATAAATTAGTAAAACACCGACTTATCCCTCCTTGCATCATCTTGGCATTTGTTTTATTGTGCAAACCAAAGGCTGGTATTTTGTGGGAACAGCCAAGCCCCCCCACCCCCTTTTAAGAGGCCACTGGTCATTCCTGGAGCTCTCTAGCATTCATTGTTCCTTCTCTTTGCAGCTGCTGACTTGTTATTCTCTTTTTCGAACCAAGCAGGAAAGAAGACTAGAGGAACATGAACAAGAATGGCAAAAATTGCCAGGAGATTGAGGCCTATTCTTCTCATTTAAGGTGTACCTCAAATAATTGCTTTACAATTTACTCAGTAAGTTTTTCCTTGAGGCTTACACAGAAATTGATATAAAACATAGAAATGAATTCTAATTCTGCACAATTACATACCAAAAAGTAACCAACTAAGACGACTCATGAGAGTTGTTGGTCCATACCTGGTGTGGGGAAGAAAATCTTTTTTCATAGGTTAATCTGTTCCCTTCAATAGAGAATCGAAAGCCTTTTCTGCGGATGCTGTCCTCTGATTCTGATTTGTGAAATTCATCCTCATCTTTTTCATCTCCTTCAGACTGTTCTCTCTGTTTTCTCTTTTTCCGCCTGTTCTTCCTCTCCTTAGCACTCTTGGAACTCAACTTTGATGTTGCTGAAGAACTCTCTGAGAATCCACCTACACCACCAACTTCACTAAATTCTCTTGATTCACCTGCTGCTGCGGCTAAAGCTGCTGCCTGAAAGTTAAGTACATTTAAGATACATCATACCAATATGTTAATTGATAGGGGGCTTTTTATATAAAACAGGTGACTTTGATGCTCATTATAGTAAGCTCACATTTCAAGGAAAAAGGAACTTGCCAAATAACACGGCAAGTTTAAATGAATATGAAGCATACCTTGATCTCATTAAATTTACCTCAGTATGTCAGGCTCAATCTTTTTCCAGCAAGCGCACTGCTCTGAACCCTCATGAGATCTATAATTTAGAAAGCCTTATGGCAATCTTGAAATGGCAGTCTTTGCTTTCATCCACTACCTCTCAATTGTGTAAAAAGAGAGGTAGTTATTCAGTTTACTGTATAGCCTTTGCTATAGTGAGAAGTACAGTATTGAGCACAAAGATCAAGCAACAAAAAGGGTTAAAGAACTGGGAAATCACTAAAAATACAGCCTTCCTGGGCAAAGAGGTCAATAAAAAGCATGGGTAAATAATTTTTGGCTGAGGGGATGCATGCAATTGTCTTGCTCCAAGATTTCTGTGTATTCCAGCTTCCTCCCTAGTTGTAGCTAAATTTCATTAACTATGTTAAATTTAAACAACATGGTTTAAAGACTAGTAAGAGGCAGAGGATAAAGGCCTGTATGTAAGGATGGGGGGGGGGATAGGATGCAATTACTCTGGGCATGACTATTAATTGTTTGGATTATTGCCACCTCTCTTGCCCCACTAATATGCTATCCTCAATTAAAAAAAATAACTCACAGACAGGACATTTCCCTTTTATTGATGGTCAAAGCAGCCTTATTAAAAACATAAGTTTCAGCCATAAAAGGGAAGGAAAGGAATACTGGGAGGGAGGAAGATGGACATCTCCTTGCCTCTTTCATAAGGTAGCATCAAAAAGAAAGTACCTTGTCCACTTCTTTTTAGCAAATAGGACTCACTGATTCTTTTTTAGTAGACAGGTCAAAATGAAACAAAATCTTATTAGGTTTTTTAATGGTATATGGAAGATATATATTTAATATCTAAATACCTTAACTATATTTTATTTCTGATGGAGAGATATTTAATTCATTCTGAAACTGTAGGAAGAACAGAATTTCATTTAGCACTATTACTTGAAATTTTGCCTCAAGACAGAAATGCCTTTTTTAAAAAAAATAATAATAATGGATTGAACAGTGGCAAAAAATGACAAAAGGAGTAGGCAGCAGTGATATTTAGGATCCAATGCTTCCTTTTTTTGCTTTTTTAGGAGAACAATTTTTGAGGACAAGGAGTTTTAATTTTTTATAGGTACATTTCTATTGGAGACTTAATGCACCAAGTTTTTAGTTTCCTGTCCTCAAATGGTTCAATATTGCGGGACACAAAAGAAGGAAGACATGTGGTAATTTTCTTCCTACTCCAATGGTCATCAGTATGTATGTTTGAATATATATATACTCATTCCCACTAGATGTTGCCAACTTGAAATGTTCTAGTTCCCCATGACCCTGGAGTCAACCAGCTGGAAGTCACAAAATTTGATATAGTAAACCCATTGACTTTACATATCATCTTTTGTAAGCACAGGGCAAAACATAAAAGTTGTGTTCCACTCATTAAGTAACCTGAGCCTCTTCTTGCTGTTTTTTCAGCTGTTCCAGCATCTGCTGGAACTCTGCCTCTTTCTGCTCAGCTTCTTCCATGGTAGCTTGATTCTGCTCTTCATAAGCCATGGCAACAACAGCCAGGATCAAGTTGATCAGGTAGAAAGAACCCAAGAAAATCACCAGGACAAAAAAGATCATGTATGTTTTGCCAGCAGCACGTAGAGTCTATAAAAGAAAATAAAGAATAAATAATTTTAAAACAGTTCTCCAAAATATATTAGCCTCCTTTTTTCTTATAGTCTAGAGATTGAACATAAGACAAACACTGTTCTAATCTTATGACATAGTGTGACTTTATTGAGTACGTGTGTGAGTTTATGTCCAAGGTTGCATGTTAATCTACAAATAAACCTACAGTTGCTGTAACTATCATAGATAAGACACATTTGGGCTACTGAGCTAGTACAGCTAGGACTCACCTCCCTTCATCACTGAGACAGTGGTACTTCCGCTATCTTAAACATAAAGAAGAGATTAAGGAAAACTGGGACATTCCACTTCAGGCTTTTCCAATTCTGTCAACACGCACAATAAGACAGCAGGGAAGAATGTATGGCCCTATAGGCATTACTTAATTCCAACTCTTACCATCAGTAGCTAGGGTGACCAATGATGGGAACAATAAAAATTGAAGTTCAGTAATATCTGGAATGGAAGTATAGATTACCAACCTTTGCTTCACTTAGCTGCGTTTCAAGCTAACATCAAAAATTACTGGCTAGGGACCAAATTAGGAAGGGTGTGTTAAGGTTAACTTGCTTAAACTTATAACCAAGTTGCTAAGCCACAATGAAGATTAACACTAACCAAATTTAGCATGTCACTCAAGCAAATGCATTTGCTACCTGATCCTGCCAAGGATGTTGCATATATACAGCCCATCTGTTATTTCTGTACTTGTGCAATATTATGGTTGCTTCTAATGTACCCATTTGGCATTTTACTGACTACACTGAACAGTATGGTGAGTTGGAGCATAGGCAATACACTGAAAGTACCAGCAAATCTTTGTTTTGTAGAGAGCAATGGGATGCTGGTCAATGTTCTCTATTTCACGTCCTCTTACTCACTTAAGAGCTTTTCTTCCCATTTCCTTTAAAAAAGCTATCCATAAGATGCTGTCTGAAGATTATGGAGTTCATCTGGAGGATGTTTAACTGGGCCAAGAATACTATCTTACCCCTTCACTTTTATTTGATTTGTGAAATAAATTCTTTATAGGGCCAATGTAGGAATAGATGACATGGTGTCCTGCAGATAGTCAAGTTACCTTGCTCTTATGAGAGCTATAAGAATTATGAAAACTATTAGATCTTATGAGAACATTTGAAGTTTTCAAGTTGCTGACCCTGAAAGTAATGTTTATCTTTTGTCTATTTACCAACAGTAAATATAACAATGCATTATAACATGATCCACTGAGCATATGCAAAACACTGTGTCTGGGCATTTTATATCTTCAGGGCTATAGGGAAGGCTCCCACAATCCAGTAATAGCTCCTGGTATCAGGGAAGGGGTTGCAACACTCTATGACATTTCCTTGGTATCTCCTGGTAAGAGAATCCCTATCTCAGCAATCTTTATGGCTATAAGGGTTAATAACATGAAGGAGTCTAATACAGTTCCATGAGCCATGGTGGCGCAGGGTTAGAGTGCAATACTGCAGGCTATTTCTGCTGACTGCCGGTTGCCTGAGTCAACTCTCACCAGGCTCAAGGTTGACTCAGCCTTCCATCCTTCCGAGGTGGGTAAAATGAGAACCCACTGGTGGCAATATACTGACTCTGTAAACCGCTTAGAGAGGGCTGTAAAGCATTGTGAAGCGGCATATAAGTCTAAGTGCTATTGCTATTCCTTTGAGAAAGGAAGTTGGAATGGTTCTCTGTTGCCCAAGAGCTCCAATGTTCATGCCAAAATGGTTACCAAAATTGGATATCAGTGATGCAAAAAGTGCTGGCTGCATGTAGCCTATCATTATTCCTTTTCTGACCAGCAACTCACTCACAGAGGATAGGGTACTTGTTTACATTGTGGAGAATTTGGACATCAAAAGGGAAAAATGCCTCAAGATTACAGACCTCTATTTGTTTCTCATACTCTGCAACCTCTCAAAATGATAACCTATTTTGTCCCACCTAATAGGTGGAGTCCCACCTATTTTGGAACGCAGGCCTCAGTATGCCAAGTATAGCCTAGACTGGCTCTCATGTGATGAAAATTAAGACCTTGTTGTATACATTTAACTCTCAATGAAATAAGGAGACTTTGAAGTTCTTTATTTGAGCATTTGAGTATACAACTGTTATGCTTCAGATACAGTTCATCATGGCATAACAGTTGTAAACTTTTCTTTGCAATTCATTCAGGTGCTCATATTAAAATGCTGCTTTACACAGTCAGCCTCGATGCTACTACTGGTACTTCCTGCTTACAAAGACCCTCACCAGTTGGTAAAGATTTTCCCAGTAGTCCTGAGTCATCAGCCGAAAGAGTGACAAGAAGGCCCAGCTGAAGGTATCAAAACTTGTATAGCCATAGTTGGGGTTTCTACCAGCTTTTACACACATATATCCTTCTGGACATTGACTAGAAAAAGGAAAAAATTGCCATTTTTAAAGATTATCCTAATCAATGTATGCTTTACTACAGACTGAGGCTTGATCAAGCAGCCTGTCAATTTTCAATAGAATGAAAATTATACTCACTTGTAAATATATTATGAAATCATCCAAGAATACCAATTACCACACAAAGACTGACCACAATTTGATGCCCCTCCAAAATGATGGCTTTTAATTTGGCAATGTGGGATGAAGGATTAAACCAGTTAAAATGCAAAACATTGGAAGGCACCAAGTTGAGAAAGGCTGGCCTGTTTTTAGTATTAACTAGGGAAAATTATTGATTGGCTAAGCTACATCCTTAAGGCAGTATCATAAGATGCAGCCCTACCAGATCAATATCTCTTTAAATAACAGTTCAAGACCAGAAACAAAGAAAGAGGCTTATTTTGACTTTAGAAATGTTTCCAACTTTTAAGATAAATAAAGTTAGACTGATAAAGAAAAGTGGAGAAATGTTCCTAGCTCCTTCCATCTCCAATATTTACGGCTTAAAGTTAGCTGCAAATATTTAAGCAGCAAACATCTGCCCCACCCCCATATTATCAAATTTGAAACATTTCAGATAGTAAAAAAAAAAGTTAAACTGTTTACCCTTAACTATTGCAGCAGCATTTCAGCAGCAATTTCCAAATAAATAATTTATTATATAAATAACAAATATATATATAATAGATTATCCTCTTACCCTGCATCTGAACCATTGCCACACAGCAAAGCATCATTTTGTCCTTCCAAGAAGTAAAAATGACCTATTTGGAAAGAGAATTGGCTATATTTACTTACACTAAAAGTCACTGTTAGCACAAATAAGCTACTGGTAAACAGACTCGTGGAATCCTAAAGACTAACGAATATATTACAACAATGTTATAGGAGAAATACTGTGCAAGTTTATGGTAGTTAAAAAACAGAGTCTGGCAGCACTATTTCAAGCTAACACATTTTATTAAAAGGCACAAGCTTTTCTGAGCTACAACTCTCTTCTTCGTGAGATGTGTAGGGTGATTAAACTGATGTAAGATTGGAATAAGCATGAAGTAAGGAAGAGGAAAAGAGTGGTTATACAGATGCAATATATGAAACAGATTACAGTTAAAAATTGTAATGTGTTAAACACTCATTTGTTTGTAAAGATTTTGTGCAACAGCCTGACATACGGGGAGTTCAGCAGCCTCTCATTTTATGAAGCATCATTTCTTTGCTCCAAAATAGCAACCTTGAGATCGGTAATCAATATCCTGGGAGTTTAAAATGCTCTGATATTACTTTCTCCTTGTTTTGAGTCCTGTTGTCAAACCTGTGTCCATTAATTTTTTGGTGCATAAAGTCTGATCTGTTTGTTCAATGTAGCACCCAGAGGGACATTGCTCTCCCACCAATACGGTAGATGCTACAACTGCCAGCAATGTCTAAAATGGTCACACCGGAGACCTTTTGATTTTTGCATCTGCTGGACTTGGTGTCCATCTACATGTCAGAACAAATCTGTAAATCTTTAGATATTTTTCAATTGCATCTAATTATGGCAATTTTTTTTCCCTGGCAACCTTCCTCCCCTCCCCCGTATATGATGTTGCCTTCAATACATTACTATCCAATGAGTACTTGCAATATATCATCTTTAGCTGTATAAATGTTTTCCTGTATTCTGATGTCATCTAAGGATAACCTTAAAGTGTACAAAAACCATTAGGCTTTGCCACCATTAATTTCCAGGGAAATGAACAGACTGGAAGTGGCCTCCCACATGCCCTCCTCATCCTCATATCAAAGTGGCCTACTCATTATTTGTTGAGGAGAAAGCAAGCTCAGTGCCAGACTGTCACAGAGGCCAGCTAAAGACAGATCAAATTTGTTTTCATCATTGGAAAAATGGAATAAGCCCTCATCTGAAGAAACATCCTGGGTCCTAAGGGAGGCCGGTGACCTTCAATTGGCTCATTGAAGGATGTCCTCCTCACCCCCCATCTCCAATCTCAACATTTCGCTTTTGGCTGGATGTCAGAGTGAGTAGAATTTTTCTAGCAATTAGGTTTTTCCCCTTGGAGACAGTGGTTTCCCAACTCACATGCTTTCTTCCCATTTTGGGAGGAAGATCCAAGTGACTGGGAGCAGAAGCAAGAGAAGCACAATAGCCATGGTGGCAGGAATATCATGCTGGCATTACTTTTTGCTGATTGAACAATGGCTAGATAGTATTTCAGCAAAATCAGCAAAAAGGAAAAGCCTTTTAAAGGCTCCCAAGTCACACAGTTTTGGTTTACTAAACTGATATGGCAATCTTTCTGGAATGTGTCACTATTTTTTTAAAAAAATGTCATCCACAATATAAGATGGTACAAAATGCAATTTGTCACAATTTAAGCCACAATTTAACATATTTTCTTAATGTTTATACTAGTACAAGTAGTCCTCAATTTAGAACAGTTCATTTAGTGACTGCTTGAAGTTACAACGGCACTGAAAAAAGTGACTTGTGACCGTTTTCACACGTATGACGGTTGCAGCATCTCCATGGTGACATGATCAAAATTCAGACGCTTGGCAACTGACTCATATTTATGATGGTTGCAGTGTTATAGGGTCATATGATTATCTTTTGCAGCTTTCTGAGAAGCCATGGAGCCAAGCAATGGAGACAAGACAAGCAATGGAGAAGCCAGATTTACTTAACTATTTACTAACTTAACAATTGCAGTGATTCACCTAACAAGTATGCCAAGAAAGGTCATAAAATGGGACAGAATTCATTTAACAAATGTCTCGCTTAGCAACAGAAATTTTGAGCTCAATTGTGGTCATAAGTCAAGGACTACTTGTAGTAGAAAAGAGCAAAACCAATATTCCTTGGGTTGGAAACAGAATGAACTAGCAAACCAACTATAGCATTTGCTTACAATGCACCATTTCTGCTAAAGAAAACTTTTGGAAGAAAGGTTAAAACATAAAGAATATGTAAATTTGAAGGTTTGGTTTTAACATTCTATGTTTTAACTAAGATGTAACTCTAAGCTGCCCAGCATTACCCTATGGTAAGATGGGCGGCCAATAAATTTTTATAAATAAATAAAATAAATCACTAGTTCTTACTGTCATCACTGACATAATCTTCCCAGTTAAAAGTGGTCACTGTCGTATTTACAAAGGTACCATTTTCTCCCATTGTGCTATTGAAATAGGAAGTGATGTTTATTTCAAAAGTAGAATTGTCCGGTGGCCAAATCAGGCATTTATGCCTCAAGTTCCCCATGAAAAGTTGGAGCCCTATTAGTGCAAATACACTCAGACAAAACACGGTCAAGATCATGACATCTGAGAGTTTCTTCACAGATTGAATGAGGGCCCCTACAATTGTCTTCAGGCCTGCGAACCAAGAAAAAAAAAAGAAAGCAGTTTTGATAGAGTGTTCAAGACTTCTTAATGTATTGCTTCAAATAATTTTTCATGCAGTATGGCAATGAAATGAATTGTCTTTGTGACAGTTTCATGAAAAGCCTGATTGCCTATGAACATGAATGAGAAGCTGTTAAATATATGCTGATCTCAAATTTTATATACAAATAAAATAGATCTATATTTATAGATAAATATACATTGTACATAATCAGAGGAACACTTGGCCTAAGCAAAAAATATGATTTTGCTATCCATGCTATATCTCTGTGGAAAAGCACATTATTTTCACTTGCTGTGTCTCTTGCCCAAACCATTATTGTGAGATCACTTTGTAAAGTATTCAACAATGTGCCTCAGTTTATGTTTATTAATAAGTGTATATGATTTAAGCTATTTGGATGATACTGGATTAGATCTTATGGTATAAAACAGGTGATGGTTTGGAAAAGACAGACAACTTCTAGGAAATCCCCATGCATGGCCCATGCTATATTTCGTGTTCTGCATATTTAACACATTGCATTTTTTAAAAAGCATATAAACAACAGATTGCAAATTTGTCTGAAGTGCCTGCAAAAAATGATAAAATTTGCATCAACATGAAAGCCTCACTATATTGGCCTTTAATTTAAAAGTGGAAAGCTTGATGTCATAAGATGCAAATTGTATAGCCACCTACTGCAAATGTCTCATGCAAGAATGTGTTAAACACAAAGGCTGGACTGGAAACAAAACTTAAGCTGTAATATTTAAAAAGCAAAGAATCACATTAGACTGAAAGCCATGTTTTCGATTCTTGCTTTTTATTTTTGCTTCTACTGTGCAGTGAGCAACATGGCTTATGCTTAAAAAGGTGATTTCATCTTCCATGGATTTCTAAAAAGTCAGCCTCTGGGTTTAACCTAGCTCTCACCTGGAATGACTGATATTGTTTTCAATGCCCGGAGAACTCTGAATGTTCTCAACGCTGAGACATTGCCCAGGTCCACAAACTCTGTCACATATCTGTAATAGGGGAGTTCACACACAAACACAATGACAGCACACAAAAAACAGCTGGAAATACCAGGGTCCTGGCACTTCATCAAGCCACTCACTTCTTACCTGGGATTACAGAAATAGTTTTCAAAGCTCTCAATACTCTGAAAGTTCGAAGAGCTGAAACATTGCCTAGGTTTACAAATTCTGTTACATACCTGTAGAATTAAACCACAGTTATTCAGAATTGAGGCAGAGCTTAGGCTACTTGCTGGGGGGGTCTTTAATTAACACCTTGTCTCTCTTTGCTGCAATTGCCTTGTATTTACTAATATGCTTTCCTGACCTTCAAATTAAATAAGTCAATGAACAAATCACATTGTTTTTTATTAGTGAAAATTAATTTGGGAATTAATTTATTGTAAGCAAGTGGCCAAACACACTACTTTGCCTCTATAGGCCAGACTACTTCTGACATGCTAAAAAAATAAATAACATGAATAAGCAAGATTAGATTTATTGTTATAGAAACCTTTCAAAATACTTTTCCTTCTTGAATAAACTTTTCTCCTGAGATCATTCCCTATTAAATTCTTCAAAAGATAAATAATCAGAACACAATGAAACACTTACGCGAATGTTATAACTGTGAAATCCAACCAATTCCAGGGATCCCGGAGGAACGTGAAATCTTCTAAACAGAAGCCCCTTGCAAGAATTTTTATTAGTGATTCAAAGGTATAAATTCCAGTGAACGTGTATCTGAGGAAAATTTCATCACAAGAATTAAAGGAAACAATTGTTAATTATAGCAATTATATATACAATACTTTCAAAGGTACCAATAAAAAATTAAAATGGAGAAAATGCCAGAAATTTAAAATAGCAAATGATTTTGTTCCGGGGAATAAAAAAATGACCTGGTGATAATTCAAAAGGACAAAAAGCAGATGGGAGCAACACTTCCATTTTATGTTACATTTCACAGGTGAAGTTTTTGGAGGTACACTGAACCAGAAGGAAGCTGTGAGGAATTAAAATCCAATATGCAAGGATATACATAAAAGCTATAGGCAAGTAAATATAAGCTTGCAGATTATAGAAAATACATATATCTCCACTGGTGAGAATCATGCCAATGGAAGTACTTGAAATGAAGGTAGTGCACTGTAACTCACTGTATAGAACAGGGGTGTCGAATTGGTGGGCCATGGGTCGGATGCATCACGCATAGGTCACACCCACCCCAGGTCCGTGAAGGGAAAAAACATCACAAAACATCACATGACGCTACATGACACGGCGAGTTTGACACCCATGGTATAGAACAGGGGTGTCAAACTCAAGGCCTGGGGGCCGGATCTGGCCCACAGAGTACTTAGATCTGGTCCATGAGCCACCCTGGAAACAACGAACGACCGGCCTGCAATGCTCTGCCAGTGAAAACGGAGCTCAGGAGAGCCACATGTGGCCCTCCCCAGCTCTGTTTTCGATGGCAGGAGGCCGTAGCAGCTGAAAATGGAGCTCAGAAGCTCATTTTCACTGGTGGAGCACTCAGGCCACTACAGGCGCCCCCAACAGAAGTGATGTCGAGCTGGCCACTCCCATTCTAGCCCCCAAGGTCAAACACAACCCTGATGCAGCCCTCAATGAAATCGAGTTTGACACCCCTGGTATAGAACATTGGTTTTGGTTTCAGGCCCAGTTTATATCACGTTTTCCATGCACAACCTTAATGGGCACTAAATACTGTAATCCAGGACAGTTTGCATAATTTGTAAAAAACAATGTTATGAAACTCATTATTGAAGTTTGCTTGCCATTAGAATAAGTCACTTGATTACTGCATATAAAAACATGGTTTCTGGCTTTGTTAAAATGTTGCATGGAAATAAAGTTTGACTTACTCTACATTCTTCGTCCATTCTGGAGGATTACTCATGGTCATAAATACACAGTTGGTTAAAATAGTGCACATAATAAGCATGCTGAATAATGTATTAATAGTTAAGGAAAACATAGTGGAAAACACTTCTTGAAAATTATCACATCAACAATGTATTTTGGCTTATTTCCAGAATCAGTAACCTTTTCTATATTTAGATAATACTCAAAGAGAATTTCCAAAGTTTTCTACACTGCTTCAGTTTTTTTTTTAAAGTAAACATTTAAATATACTGAAATAAAAAACAATAATAATAGTAATATGGATTTTTACAGAAATGAAAGATGGAAACAAGTTCTTACCTCTTTATTAAAAGTAAAATCAGGTAGTTGCAGCAAGAAGTTGGTGGCCAGTATAACACCAGAATGCAAATAAGTTGACCAAGCCACAAACAAAAAGGACAGGCAACCAGGGAAGAACATTTTGACATGGAGGAAAAATAGTATTCAGCTCACTGGATTTTTATAGAGCTAACCTATGCTCATTGATTAGTGAGCACTAATAATTCTGAACCACTAATGTTTCAAGGCTCAAATATAGTCTGATATTTTATACTTTCCAAAGCCCCACCCCTTTAAGGTAGTTGTTAAGTCTTCGCACTTACGACACGAGGCTCTGATTGGCTAAGACGCATGGACTTGCCGGCGGGAGAATCCTGTCCTCCTATTGGTCATATAGTTTGACAGCTGCGGTATAAATAGCTGTCAAACCCTTAGTTGTTTGCACCCTAGAGCGGTTTGTCGTTTTAAAAATACCATCTGCCATAGATGCGGAAAGAAGGGGCACTTAGCACGCATTTGCCAGGCAAAACTACAACCCACTCAGTCAAACACCTCAGGAAGACCATTCCAAAAGACCATGAAGCTGAGCGGTGATTGTTTCACAATTTCGAGAGGTAACAACCTCCCTGCACTGTCTGCCTGCCGAGCCAAAACCGGCTCCAACAGTAAACTCTACATGACGGTGACTATTGAAGGGGCCCCCTGCAGAATGGAGGTCGATACGGGATCGTCAAAATCCCCGATCTCTTGGGACACTCTGAAGAAGATGGCACCACAAATGACAAAAAGAATGCTTCAGGTGTGCCAGGTGCACCTTAGAGACTACCAGGGAAATGACATCCCCTGGGTGACATCCAGGGAAATGACATCCCCTGGGTTGCACCAAGCTCCTGGTTGAGCACAAAAACTTCACCGGCAATCTACCACCGATAATTGTGAAAGACCCTCTGCCCAGCCTGCTGGGGCTTGACTGGTTTGGCGCCCTGGGCCTTGGCATAACTGGCATACACTCAACCACTCACGACAATTTCGAAGACGTCATGGCTGAATTTGCTGACGTATTCAACGACGAATTGGGTAAATATAAGGGGTCACCCATCTCCCTCAATTTAGATCCTCAGATAGCCCCATTAGGCTGAAACCGAGAAGGGTGCCTTTTGCACTCAGGCCACTAGTTGAAAAAGAACTAGACAAGCTCATAGCGCAGGGCATACTAGAGGCTACTGATCACGCCCCCTGGGAGACCCTCATAGTCATACCCATCAAGCCAGATGGGTCAATCTGCATCTGCGCGGATTATAAGTGTACCATAAATAGGGCGCTCCAGGCCAATCCATACCCAGTGCCTGTGGTGCAACATCTGTTGCACTCTCTTGGCAAGGGCTCCATTTTTGCCAAACTGGATATGGCGCAAGCTTACCAGCAGCTCCCGGTAGATGATGCCACCGCGACAGCCCAGACCATCGTGGCCCACTGGGGAGCGTTTAAATGTCGCCGCCTCCAGTTTGGCATAAGTGTTGCCCTGGGCATCTTCCAAGGGCTTATGGAATGACTACTGCAAGGACTGCAGGGAGTCGTTCCATATTTTGATGATGTTCTCATATCAGCCTCTAGCCATGCTGATTTAAAAACCAAATTACAGGCAGTCCTGCGTCGATTCCAATTGGCTGGACTCAAACTCAAAAAAACTAAGTGCAGAATAGGGGTGCCTAGGGTAGAATTCTTGGGCTACTTGATCAATGCCACAGGTATACACCCCACACCGTCCAAGGTTGCAGCCATTAAGAGGGCTCCTCCACCAACCAATAAGACAGACTTACAAACCTTCCTCGGCCTTTTAAATTTTTACAGCGTTTTTTTGCCCCACAAGAGCCCCTTCACCACCTATTAGACAAAAAGACTTCCTGGCATTGGGCCCCCCGGGAAGCCGCCTCTTTTGCTGCCGTCCAATCCCTTTTGTCTTCTGAGGCTGTCTTGGTTCAATACACTGACAGCCTTCCCTTAGTTTTGGTCGCTGATGCGTCCCCTTTTGGAATAGGAGCCGTCTTAAGCCATGCCCTCCCAGATGGCACCGAGGCCCCCATTGCGTTTTATTCATGAACCCTCTCATCCACAGAACGCAACTATGGCCAGATCGACAAGGAGGCACTGGCTGCTGTGGCGGCCATTAAGCGTTTCCATGATTACTTATATGGCCGCCCCTTCACCTTAATCACAGACCACAAACCCCTTTTAGGTCTCCTGGCTGGCAACATCCAAACGCCCCAGGTTCTCTCCCCCCGCATGTCATGCTGGGTCGAATTCCTCGCCGCCTACTCTTACACCCTTATCTATCACCCTGGCAAACATCTGGCCCACACTGACGCCCTCAGCCGCTGCCCCCTGCCCATCTCCGTTTTCGACCCCTCTCCGGCATCCCATGTTCTCCTTATCGATGCCCTAAACCTGCCTATTACCGCCATTGATGTGGCTGCCCACTCTGCCAAGGACCCCACCATTCGCAGGGTTTTAGACTGGGTGCGAAGGGGTTGGCCTCCGGGGCAAGTAGGGCGTGATTTCAAACCGTACCAGGTCAGACAGCATGAGCTGTCTGTGCAGCGAGGGTGTCTGCTATGGGGAAACAGAGTAGTGGTGCCACCCAAACTTCAGCAGCTGGTGCTAGAGGCCCTCCACGAGGGTCACCCGGGCATCGTCCAAATGAAAACATTAGGGCGAAATTATGTCTGGTGGCCAGGTTTTGACCGAGTGGCCGCCCAGTGGGTTGCAGGGTGCCAGTCTTGCTAGCAGTCACACCCAGTGGCCCCAGCAGCCCCCGTCAAGGAGTCGGAAATACCTAAGTCCACATGGTCAAGAATCCACGTGGATTTTGCTGGGCCCTTCCATGGGCAGACCTTCTTGGTGGTGGTTGATGCCTACTCAAAGTGGGTAGAGATAGTCGCCATGGCATCCAGCACATCCGCTGCCCTCATCAGGGCGCTCCAGAGACTATTCGCCACCCACGGTCTACCGGAATCCACCATGCCAAGGTGGCACCATTTTGCCCTGCTAGCAATGGCCTGGCTGAACGGGCCGTGAAGTCAGCTAAAGATCACGATTTAACGGTGGGGACTGGCCAGAGAAAGTGGCTCGCTACCTGTTAGCACAGCACGTAACACCCTGCCCTTCTACCTACAGGAGCCCCGCAGAACTGTTAATGGGCCGTCGGCTACACACCAACCTCGACCGTTTGCACCCATCCTACTCCCCCGAAAAACCTCCAGACTCCACAGGCCGCCACTGCTGCTTTAACATGGGCGATCTCGTTTATGCACAAAACTTCGGGGGTGAACCAAAGTGGCTTCCCGGAACTGTTGAACAAATTACCAGGCCCTACTCCTACCAAGTCAGACTGCCCGATGGCTGGCTGTGGCACCGCCATATAAACCAGGTCAGAGGCTGTATTACATCCAGGCCTGTAAACACAGCTGACCAGGATGACAATGCAGCAGTTCCAGTCCCTACCTACACACCAGAGGTCCCTACCTCAAGCACGCCACCAGAGCCCAACTTACTTGGTGAACTGGGCCTGTTTCCCGATGATGGGTCTGACGCCAGAGTCCCAGTGGAGTTGCAGGGAGTTCCGCTGGCACCACAAGCACCACCTACTCCTCCAGCGGCCGCCCCCGAACTGCGAAGGTCCTCGTGGATGCGCAGGCGTCCAACTTACTTAGCCGACTATGCCTGCTCCGTCCAAGGGGGAAGGGGTGTTAAGTCCTCACACTTACGACGCGAGGCTCTGATTGGCTAAGATGCATGGACTTGCCGGCGGGAGAATCCTGTCCTCCTATTGGTCACATAGTTTGACAGCTGCGATATAAATAGCTGTCAAACCCTTAGTTATCGTTCTGTTTTTCTCAAGCCGTTCGTGTTACTGTTAGTCAATAAACCATTCTTGTTTGAACCCAGCCTAGTCTCGCCTCATTTAATGGACCCCGGGTTGCCCTACAGAGCAGTAGTCCTGGTAGAATAATCAGATCACACACACATATATATATATATATATATTGTTCTTTTAGGGAGAATGCAACTAACATTTGATTGGCTTCAAAACAGCTGTATGCCTGTATGCTTATTAATGGAAGAGCTTAAGAAAGTGGTGCTGTGGCAATAAAGGCTACCTGCCTGAAAGACTTGCTCAAAGGGAAGGTAAGAAGAACAGCAATTCCAGGAGTGTCTGCAAAGGATCAAAAAAAAGTAAAAAAAAAAAAAGATGGCCATAGACAGGTGATTAAAGCACTATCTTATTTTTTTTTATTGTGCGTTATGACACATGTAAAAAAAAAAAATGTTAGGACACTGATGGCGTGGCCGTCATCTTGACTTTTTTTGCTTTCTTTCCTGAGGTAATGGCTGAGTCATGCAAAGAATAATTCAAGGTTTGTGTTAGAATTCTTCCCTGTCACCATCTTACTAAAAATGTTTTCTTGTATATGAGGCATTAAATGGCCACATGATGGCAGCATAAAATAAAACATGTTGAGAGCTGCTTTATTTAAGGGTTGGGTTATTACATGTGCATTTCACCTTCCTAGTGGGTGCTCAGAACGGTATACAAGAGATTATTGGGATGAACTGCCGAATTAGCATGCACAATTTCTACTCAGATTTTGGTGAAGGTTTTCAGCGTGATGATTTTTAGGATGAAAGGAGGCTTCTGCCAAGTACTGGTTCAAGAACCAGAGGCCTTTCCTGACAATTCATGGGGATGTAAAGAGTGGAACCGGGGCCCTCCTTCTAATAAAAGAGAATCTTAACATTTAGTTTTTTATAGGATGGTTCCCTTTTAAGTCTGCTTCATTCCCCACACAGATACAGCCAAGTTGTTCATTAAGAATTTTCTAGAATGTAGCCATTGAGGACCAGAATGTGGCTGTAAGGCTCAAAAGAATATTTGTGAAAAAGAGCTCTCAAAACCATACAAATATGAATTCATCTGGAATTGTATACATATTTTTTATACACTGAGAATACGTAACATGGAATACATGAGACATTTTAAAATAGGTATGTGTTTGATTGTGCTGAAACAATGGAATCTACTCACTCTCTGGAGCTGATCCAGTATATTACACTTTCAAATAGTTAAAAAAAATGGCATACATAAATGTATTAAAACAAACCAATACAACTTATTAATTGTCTATATGGATCTGATGTGCATAGGATTCCACTAAAAGGTACTGAGGTTAGGAGTATAGAAACTGCAAAAACTGAAGGCCATGCTGCTTGACATGAGCATTTGCTGTTCATTAATATTTTGTGTGTCCTGAAATTGGAGAGAAACTGCCTTGCACAACATCTTGAAAACTTCACAGATGAATAGAGTAGTATAATTTTATTCTCCACATCACATTTGCTCTAATTTATCTAAGAACCAGTATTCAGAATTCTCTCACGATTTTCAAGATCAATCAAAATATAGTTTCAGAGTAATTATACCATTTTTTTTTTTGCTTTAATTTATATGCCGCCCTTCTCCGGAGACTCAGGGCGGCTTACAATGCGTTAAGCAATAGCCTTCGTACTTTTGTATATTTTATACAATGTCAGTTTATTGCCCCCACAATCTGGGTTCTCATTTCACCTACCTTTGAAAGGATGGAAGGCTGAGTCAACCTTGAGCCTGGTGAGATTTGAACTTGCAGTAATTGCAAGCAGCAGATATTAATAACAGTGTGCTTTAGTCCACTGTACTACAGGCTCATATTAAAATTACATGAAAACATACCAGTGCTTTCTACCTGAAAAAGAATATTGTTAATTTTGTATAAAAAGGAAAACATAAAGACTTACTATTTGGACTCAAGTTTGTACTGAATGCTTGTACAACTTTTGTGCACATATACATAAAGCAAACTTCAACTATATTTTTTTTCATAGAAAAAGTCAAGCTGTACTTGAAAGCCTTGAGTCACAATGCAGTGCTTTAAGGGCTATTAGAATATACAGAACAAAACACAAGGAGCATCTTAGAACATCTATTGAACGTTCGTCATTTATGCAGTGGATAACAAGGAGACATCCTCCTGTATTCTGAATGAATACAGAACGCAGCATCTTACAAGTAATACATGAGTTTCAACAGGCATAACTCCTAGACTGCTCCAAATTTATATTTTTAACTGTCTGAAAATAACTGTGAAATATCTAATAAATCAATTTATATATAGCATGGATCCCAAGAATTTAGCAGAAAATGCAGGGATATTTTTCAAGAGGCACACTCACGTGGAAATTTGATTCGCCTTGATATGTCTAATTAGAGCCCCAGGAATTGGAAATGGCTCTTCCAATATAAGACAAATCTCCCATTTATCTCACTGCAGGGAAAGAACGATTGGCAGATGAATTCATTTTAAGAAAAGGTGCATATCCTTATTCATTTTATTGAGGAGCTCCTGATAACCATCTAAAAATCATAGGGTCAAGAGTCCAAATCACCGGTGTTTGGTCTAATAAAGCAAAATTCAAAAGTAGGATAAGAGAAATAAAGGCTGCAGAGAAGAAACCATGGGGAAAAACAGAAGAAAAAAAGGAAGGCTTTTTAACATCTATTTTTTAAAGCTCTGTACTTCATGAATGGGTAGAGGGCAACATTGGCAGAAATGGGTAAATAAATAAAATAAAAAATAAAGAAATGGGTAAGAGGCAAAAAGAGAAGATGAAAAGGGCAAAGCAGGAAGCAAACAAACAAACAAACAAACAAACAAACAAACAAACAAACAAACCCCATGGTTTAAATAGTCAATTTACTGAAAACAGAAATAGCATTATTTCAATCATTGTGAGCTAAGAACTTGAAAAGGATATGAATGTACCAAAATCTTGATAGCTATTTTTCTAAGAGGGTTGAAAGGAGTTAACAGGTACACAGCAGATGTGGCACTGAATCGGAATATTGCCTTCCCTCTATTCAATACTATAAATGTCTAGAAAAAAAGCAACAGAATTAATGGAGAAAATTGGATTCAGAACCTGTAAAATGGGTTCTGCATTGGTCTATCTATCATATATACAAAAGACTTTATTAAAGTAGCAGTTACAAATATAGAAGGTAATCTGTCTGTCCCCCTATCTAATTTTGTTCAATCATATCTATTTATGATTCAAAGAGGGCTCATCAACTAAACAGATACTTTAACATGGAACCAGACTTATGCAACTAGATAAAAATCTAAATATTGTACACTAAATTCAGGAGCAAAACCTAGATTTTGACAGCCTGAGAAAAGCTCTTTTCTTCTATGGCTTTAATTGTAGACTAGTTTCTCACCAGCTTCAGCATCAGTAACCCAGCGGTTTCCTTCCCCACTCCCAACATCTTAATCTATTGAAATCAATGGATTAGACAAGTCCAGTAATGCTGCAGAGTTTTTCACTGCCAAATAAGGAAAGCTCGTTAAAACTTTTTTTTTTAATCAGGACATGAGTCTCAACAACTAAAAGGTATTATATGTGTTCTTGTGAAGCTGCACTTGGTCACTTTGTATATCTGAAAAAACTTCTTAAAGAATAGATGATATATATGGTGCACCATGCTTATACTTCACCTTGTAAGTGTGGTTATACTTTTAAAAAATTGTTATGCTTCCTAAAAATATCTGTAAAAATGTACCCATGCAATATGTGGAGTGTTCTGCAAATCCAATAAATGCAGATAGGCGCTCTAATTTTACTAGAGTTTGGGAAAAATTGTAGTGAACATATTTTGCTTTCCATTTCAGGTTCCCACCAAATTCCAGCAATTTCAGGACATACTCTGTATTTTGTTAGCATATGATAGGGGAACTGTGCTTGTGTTCCCCATTGAAAGAAGTGAAGAAAAACTGTATATAACCTATGCAGAGATGTTTTATTTGTTGTGTAGAATTGATAAATTGGGGCATATAGCAGATACAGCGTTTTCTTAATCTTCAGGAAGTCTCCAGGTAGCTCTCATCCATGAACTAGGACCCATCGGTATGACTTTAAAGTTACCGTTATTCTACTAAGATGTAGATAGATGGTAAATTCAGTATCATCTGCATATTGATAATATCTCACTCCCAATGAATCAATCACAGTCTCCTGTATATAATGAACAGCAGCAGAGGAAGGCTATCCACAAGTGACTACCTGATGGGCTGATTTCTATTCCCCATCCATCATAGATTGGACCTGCTCCCTCAGAAAATAAAAGGCAGCACATTTAACTCCCAGTCCTCTAGACAGTCTAGCAGGATAACCTGGCTAATAGTATTAAATACACCTGAGAGATATAAAAATACCAGAATGGATGCATTCCCTCAGTGTTGAAGGTCATCCACCAGAATAAAATAAATTTTCATTCCATAACTGAATCCAAACTGAGGATATGAGCATCCGAGTCACTTCATCAGAGCTCACAGATCAAAAGGAGTCCTAGATAATATTGCTGGTGGCGCTTCAGGCACACACTTCTGATTGAATAATCAAGATTACAGAGAACGTGAGCAATGTTAATAGCAAAATCTTGTACTAATAAGTCACAAGACTTTCTCCAGCTCCTATTTCTCTATTAGGAAGCAGTCAAATTTAAACAAGTTCCTCCCCACACTTAAAGTCACAGGCAGTGGGCTTGACTATACAGGCATTCCTTGACTTACGATCATTCATTTAATAACAATTCAAAGTTATGACAGTACTTAAAAAATGTAAACACTGATTCTTGCATTTATGACTGCCACAGCATCCATCTGGTCATGTGATCAGAATTGGCAACTGACATGCATTTAGAATGGTTACAATGTCTAGAATCATGTGATCACCATTTGTGACCTACCCAAGGGGCTTCCAACAAGTAAAGGTAATGAGGAAAGCAGATTTGTTTGACAACTGTGGTGATTCATTTAACAACCATGGCAAAACGATAATAAAATTGGGCATGACTCACTTAATAACCACATCACTTAGGGACAGAGATTTGGGGTTCAGTTATGGTGAGAACTACCTTTAGTTCATATTCAAGCTCAGTCGGATTACATTTTAGTTTACTTTCCTTTCACTGACACTTCAATTGTTGCATGTCTTGTTCCATAAGTCCTAGTAAAACAAAGAACACCCCCAAGTCAGAGGTGGGTTTCAGCAGGTTCTGACCAGTTCTGGAGAACAGGTAGCAGAAATTTTGAGTAGTTCGGAGAACCAGTAGTAAAAATTCTGACTGCCCCCCCTCCATCTGTTCTCTGCCTCCCTAGTCCCAGCTGATTGGGAGGAAATGGGGATTTTGTAGTAACCTTCCCCTGGATTGGGGAGGGAATAGAGATTTTGCAGTATCCTTCCTCTGCCACTCCCACCAAGCCATGCCAACCAAGCCACACCCACAGAACCGGTAATAAAAAATTTTGAAATCCACCACTGCCTCAACTCCAATCCCAGTATCAACCAATATAGAAAGAGGCTACTTGGGAAGAATCATACCAAACATCCCAATTACCACCTCATGCCAGAAGTCCACCAGGCACTCAGTGGAACAGCTTAACAGATGATATGAAACTTACCAGGAACCTTCCAGAATCAATCAAGATTCATTAGATCTTCAGGAAGACCTTCTTCATGGGCCCATATACCCTGTAGTGGGTATGAGCAGTGAAAATGTCATCTGGACCAGGAAATGATTTGACCATGTTAAAGGACTCAGTCTAATGTCATCCATATCCAGATCAGATACTAATTATTCTAAGTTAAAGATGGGGTCAAAAATATGTCTGCTGGGGTGATTATGTGCCTGGTTATATGCTTAAAAACTCCTTCTACTTGTTCTATTCAGTGGAGTTAAAAAGATTAACTCCAATCTTCTGGAGTTAAAAAAACATCCTACTAACTGAGTTGTATAAACAGGAAGCTTATTTAACTTTTACTTTTTGTTTAGCCATTAGCAAAAGGGCTCTACTCAGAATAAAGAAGCGGAATGAAGTTTTGGAAACTACTCATTGAGCAAGTTTTGATACACATCTTCTGAGGGTATAAAAACATGTACCAGTATCTTGCTGTTCTTATATATTTTCTTATAGAAGAAATTACAAAAAAAAAATAATGTTCTGCTCTTAAGGCTTACAGTGGCCTTTTCCAAATGCTGTGTTAACATACAAAATTCCCAAAAAGCTTGACCTTCTCCTTTCTGGCTATGAATTCTGGAAGATGAGCATGTGAAGGATACAAGCTGGAGATGACCAGGCCAAAGAATTATTTTAATTTTAGTTAAATTGAAAGCAAGATTTTCTGCCTGCAAAAATATTTTTTCTTTTCCTTTCTTTTTTACAGCAGAGTCAGAGTCAGGTGGTTCTAAGGCTACAGATCTAACAGCAACCCAGATAGCTGTAGGATAGTACAGAAACCAAGTCAAACATTTACATCCTTACTGCTATGAAAAGAAGAACTAGGCCAGCGGGCAATTGCTAAACAGATTCAATCATTTAAAAACACTGACTCTGTAAAGTTAAGATTTGTTGCAAATGTCATGTAATTTTTTTGTTAAATATTTTTTTTCCAATTGTTTTCCTCCAGATGTGCGAATACGAAAGATATAATAAAACTGCTTCACAATAATGGGGCGGGGGTGTGAAATAACATATTTACAGTATTGTAATATTTTCCCCAAGTGATGCTTTAGTTGTGAGCATAAATGAACGGAAGTAGTAATCCATATTTAGGAGATAATAATCTGAAGTATAGAAGTTGTCCTCCAATCCACTGATTAAAGAGGACTCTGCAGAATTTCCCTCCTCCCAAATTCTGTGTTAAAATCCCAGCAGAGGACTCACTTTTTTGTTAATGTAATATGGGTCCAGGTCCTCCAATGGCTCAGACACCATCCCCGGAGGTATGTCTCCATATATAAAGGGCAGGGATTTGCCAGCTTCCAAATCGCTATTTGGTTTTGGTCCATTTTCATCATCATCGACATCTTTGCGCTCTTGCTTGGACTTCTTCGCCTTTTCCTCGGCAATGCGTTGTTCAATAGCTGCCAGTGATTCTTTCGTAAAATAGTGGAAGCTGTCAGGTCCTGGTGGTACCAGCACTGACTGTGCCATCTTTTCATCCTGCAGCTCTTAATTACAGTTGTGCCCCATGCATAAAAAAATGCTAAAATACAGAAAAACATATAAAAAAAATAGTGTCATGCTCTCAGGATCAACACAGAAATACTTGCTTATTATTTTCTTCAGGGATGGCTAGGGTACAAATGGGAGAATAGGGCTTTCTTGTCAATTTATTTATTGATTTTCTTAGCAATCAGTTTTCCTCCTCTTTCTTATATCTTTTAAACAAATCAAATCCATTCTCAGGAAAATCAGCTTTCTTATGAACAGCAATGCATTGACAATGATGTAAGGAACATTCTGCACCGAACACATTATTTTCCTATTTTTTAAAATGATAATATACAGCAGCTTTGTTTGCAATCCGCAGCACAAGTGAGCAACCATATTTTAGTTTACAATGTTGTGTAAATACAGCCAGAGTATTTTATTAGGACACTTCTAAATGCCAGCATTTCTGTCTGTATGAATTAAATATAAAATACTGATATATTTGATGATTAGAACATGACAAGCACAGGCATGTTTATATATCTGTAACTGCCAGAGTACAGCCAGCCAATAACTGATCACAATAATTCTAGGATATTAAGTGAGTACCTCACTTTATGTCTTCTAGCCTAAGTCGAAACATATTTTCTGTACCCTTATAATAAATTGCTGGTATTCCTTGGTTTATACAGCCCTCTTCCCATGGCAAACCTCTGTTGTCTTTAACATTTCTAATGCTGACATACCAGCAATTCTGCATATTCCTTTGCTAACAACTATGCTACTATGACCAGATCCTAGACGGTGGGAAATGGGGTGGATAAATATCTCTCCAATTAGAACTCAGATAATTGTTATAGAAGTAAAGCAGTAATACCATGGAATTTTTCAATAGATGTAATTTTTCCATGGTTAGAACTCCATTATCACTGGAGTTGCTCAACAATTTTGGTACCAAATCATAAGATCAATCTTGCATGGGAATTGACATTGTGCCCTTATCTAGATCTAAGCTAATGACAGGGCACTACCCTGGAAAACTTATTGCCTAATTTCAGTCAGTGAAAATTAAGAGTAAAAGGCAATATGTGGTGGAAAAGTGATAAAATATATGATTAATTTGATATATCGGGATACCATAAATTGAAAACATTTAAGTTGGATCTAGTAGATCCACTGATTCCAACTGATCTCCTCTGCAAATGTTTAAGTTAGATTCAATATTCTGTTTATTCCATTTTCTCCTTCGTATAACATATCACTCTATATACATATCTTGTTATGATAAAAATATGATTTATTCAGGTTTAACTAACTGAGTTACAAACTGCTAAAATTCAAATACAGAACTCTACATTCACTCAATGTGCTTAACTGGTTACTAAATGGATTCATATATTGGTCTGAATAGTACACTGTACAATAACCCAACCAAATTAGCTAATTTGCATAACATAAGCAATGAAAAGACTAAATATATTTATCATGGCAAGCGAATGTAGCTATTAGCTCTTCTCTAACCTAGTTGTGTGTGTTCTGATATCACAATTACAGTCAGTAATCTTTCTGAATTACTGGGCAGTTGGTGAAAGGAGAACATTTTTTTGTGCATAAGCAGATAAACCAATATTCAACTTTTATCCCTCTCACTTTAAAACAAAGTCTCAAAATTTTAAGGCAGTAATATTACACCCCAAATACATCAGTTAATATGTCCACAGATCACACCCAATTAAACTTTTCTGTTTGTAGCATGAGCACTGATCTTAGTTGTTACTTAGGGCATCTGGCCAGGTTTTAACTAGTATTAAAAGCTTCCTGACATAAATTGGCAGATGCTGAATGCATAGTGTCAGATCATGAAAAAAATATAACTGACACAGGAAGAATACATCCCAGGAAATTGGGAATACATAGCTAACATCTTACCAAGCAAATTGGTGTAGTGGACTAGAGGGTGGAGACCATGACTTCTAGTCCTACTTGAGGCACAAAACCAGCTGGGCGACCTTGGATCAGTCACTCTCTCTTAGCCCTGGAAAGAAGGCAAGGGCAAACTACTTCTGAAATCTTGCTAAGAAAACTACAGGGACTAGACCAGACAGTCTCCAGGAGTCAAAACTGACTTGAAGGCACAAATACACATACCTATTTCACCAGTTGGCTGAATCAATCAATTAATTGTTTTAAAAGAAATATTTACATTTTGGAGTCCAAAACTAAGGGAATTCACCTCAGGGCTACTTTAGCACTGCAACCACAGTCACCGAAGGCATCTGAAAAGTCTCATTAATTTAGTGAGCTGGAGGCTGTTACTGTAACCAACAAACTCAGTTGTGTGCTCTTCCCCAAGGAGCTGCAATAATATATAGTAACTGGAAATCTAGCCTGGATCCTTGAGATTCCCTGCTTTAATACACGACGTCATTTTTAAAAAATAATCCTTTATGAAATTAGGAGGTTGTCTGGAGGGTGGATAACCAAACCCTTTCTTATGACTAATGCTTTTTTGCTTACAAATGTATACATTTTATTTTTCCAGATTGGAAAAGAGAATTTTTTCATGCTTCTTCATGCCCTTGCTGATTTTTTAAAAAATCTAATCCAAATGATGTGTTAATCTTTGCCATGTTGCTTGTTTAGAAATTAGAATAAGCAAAATAATTGTAAGAAATGAAACAGTTGTAAGGACAATGACAAAAATGAAAAGAAAACAAGTTCTAGGACATTAGTTGAAGGGACTAAAAGTTAAGATTGATAAAAGTGAAAAGAAGAATATAAAGTTAGTTTATTTAACCAAGATTAAAATAGATATGTTGCTGTCTCTAGTAACCCTTAACAGATTTTTGCTGACCAGGACTGAACTTTAAGGATTTGTTTTTAGATAAGAGATGGGATAAGGAAAGAAAAGATCATTTGTTATAGTTTAAGAGAAACTTGATTAAGTTACTAAAATTGTTTATACTTGTTATGAGGAAAGAGAAAGACATTTCTTTATAAATTTATTTCTTTTTATTTACTATATTTTATCTTTTCTTCCTTTTCTATTTTTCTTTCTTCTTTTTTTTCTTTTCTGGACTTCCTATTTTTTCTTTTATTAGCATGTATTAGTTTTTATCCTTTAATTGTAATATTTAATAAAATTAACATAAAAAATAATCTTATCTGAGCATGGTGTGTGGTCACCAGTTCTTGCTAACACACCACCATGTGATGTGAAGTATACTGGGGGGGGGGGGGAAGCCACCCTCATGAACCAGCCCCTTCTGTTCTGAGGTAACCACATTTATGGATGATCAATGAATGGAAAATGTGATCTCCTTGATACCATTCCCACTCCCCACCATTATAAATTGATTTCTCCCATCACACTAGCATTCTGGGGGAACCCAGAGAGGATGGAAGGGAAATCTTCACCCCACACAAGTTTGGCTAATTACAGAAAGGATTTACAGAAAGGAAACCAAATAAAAAAGTCAGGTCATTAGTTCAGCCCAGCTGAGATGGGCAATAGAAGGGGAAACTGGCCAATTGAAACAAAAATCAACTTTATGAAATGCACCAAAAGAAACTTCTTCAGTTGAAGAAGCTTCTTGGATGAGAAGCGAAGCATCTTCAAAGAAAAACCAGATAGTCCAGTTGCCTCTTGAAAAAGCACCCTTGGGACAACCATGACCTGGATGACTGAGAATCTCCATAGACACCAAAATAAAGTTTCCACTCATGTAATAGTTTAAATACAAAACAACAACAACAACCTTAACATGCTTCTAATTAAGCTAACTTTCCACCTGGCTGGAGATCACCTCTTTCTCACTACATACAAAACTCTTCCTGCACCAAACTTGACAGAACCCCCTTCTTTTCTTCTAGTAGCTCTCTGGGCATACCAGGTTGGCTTGTTCTTCAAAGGGTCAGCCTTACCCCACCATAGAGAAGGAAGAAACTGCTGTGCAGCATCTCTTTAGCATGTCCCTGCAACTGTATCTCTGGGGGCTTGATAGTGCAGAGCAGTCAGAGAATGGGGGGCAGAACCAATCCTGAAAACTTTCCTTAGCAAAGTCTTCTTGCTACACCAGCCAGGATTGTTGTGGGTCTAAATAACATCAACATATATTAACTGTGTAGGAACAGGAGCAGAGATGGGTTTCAGCAGGTTCTGACCAGTTCTGGAGAACCGGTAGCGGAAATTTTGAGTAGTTCAGAGAACCGTTAGTAAAAATTCTGACTGGCCCCGCCCCCATCTATTCTCTGTCTCCCAAGTCCCAGCTGACTGGGAGGAAATGGGGATTTTGCAGTAACCTTCCCCTAGATTGGGGAGGGAATGATGATTTTACAGTATCCTTCCCCTGCCACGCCCACTAAGCCACTCCCACCAAGCCATACCCACAGAACCAGTAGTAAAAATTTTTGAAACCCACCACTGAACAGGAGCCAAGATTGCCACACACTCACAGCTACTGAAATAAGCTCCCATCTTTCAACAGGCCTTATCACTTCTGGCTTAACCTGATGCCCCCCAAATGGCACCTGGAGACAAGAAAGGAACATGGACCAGCCCTAACAATGTTACTGGGAACCATAAGTCTAATACAACAGAAAAGCAGATGAGGATTGACTCTTATCTCCTCATTGCATTTAGAATATTTAGAACATAAAGGAGTCAGCAAAGAAAGCAAAAGGGTGGGTATTAAAATAATAAGTATTTTTATTATTCATCTAACAATGGTTCAACTAGTAAATATGGGAATACGAAAAGCTTCCTGCTTGTTTCATAATATTAAAATCTAGGGTCATCCAATAAAGTTCAAGTAGTCAAATGGTCAAAATTGCATTCCAAGCTTATCACGATAGTGAACAACTTCGATAGCTTTGTAACTCAAATGAACAGGAGTTAAAACTTAACTAGCTCAACTCAGAGTGATCCATGTCATGCTGCACTTACAAACAAACTTTCAATCCAAGATCCAGCCCAAGACCTCTCTAAGTGATCACTTGAAGCTAGTTGGTGATGGAGTGCATAGGCCCAATTTTAGCACTTATTAACATTGATAAATTATTTTTAAAAAGAGCCAAAAGATAGCTGGTCAGCTGGGAGCACGATGATAGGAGCTCCATTTATTATTTCAGATCAGAAATATATTAACTTTTCTACAATAAAATTGTGTTTTATTGTAGGATCATGTTACGATGCAAGCAACTCAGTTTTACTTCTTACAGCTGTACAGATACTAGGAACACAGAAGTGTGCAAACTTACAACCTTTTTTCTCATTGGAGTTGGAAAACATTTTTTTTTTATTTTGCTGTAAAATCAAGATTGTAGACGCAGTTGTAAAGCATTAGGGGGAAGAGATAAATTTTAGTGCTTCCTAATGAAAGCACTTTGCATGGCCCTCTAAAAGATATCTCCTGAAGATCATTAAGATTATAACATGAATAGTTAGGCATACTATTTTTTCGAAGATCACAGATGATATGCCTCCAAATACCAGAGGATGAGAAACATGAGCATACTTTGGGGGTTTTCTAGAGGAATGAGAATGATGCTTTGGAATAATCCAGCAATGCTGTTATGTTCCATTTCCTGTTGTATATATGCTATTTTCTTGAAACTGGTGTTTTTTTCCCACATCTACTTGGGAATTAAGTAGGATTTTGGACTAGTAAGTTATTATGAAGCAGTTCATAATATGGTATGTCTCCAGACTGGAGAAATGTATGTTACCAAACTGGATGCAGCTTGTTTTGTACTTATAGCAATGGGTAAATAGCTTTTTAAAAAAGTAAATGGCAAGTTCAGAAGGATTTACAGACCTTGGGAGAGGAAGACTTAAATACTTTGCATCCTGCTAGGTTTCTGATCAAGATTGAAGGCACTACACCCTGCTATTGCAATTGAGGGCAGAGAGCATGTGTATTCTCAGACGCATGTCTTTTTTTCTGAATACAAATAATGGGTCTAGCCAAAAAGACTGATCTGTAATAGATCATAACAAGGGATAAATACCACCATGTCAAGGTGGCAGACTAGATTGGTCCCCTTTGCTTGTAATTTATACATTAAAGAAACACTCACACATTTAGGATTGATACAAATGGCATACTTCCTAGTTCAAGGGTTCCAGAATTTTAAAAAAGTGTAGAAACGAAACATTTATAGCTGAACAAGTAGTTTTGTAGAACGTTCCCCATTCAATCCTTAGCATCTTCACTTGGATCTAGGAAAAATCTACTTGAGACCTGGAGAAAGAATGCTAGATAGATCACCTTAAATTAAATAGATCAGGGACTAGACTCAGTTATAAGGCAAAAATCCTACAGAAGTTCAATACCTGCAAGATTTAAAATCAGCATGGAGCCTGAAGTTCATTTTGAAATCATCACTGTTAGATCCAGGAAGTAGATGTGATGCCACAACATGCTTTTCGAGTATATCAGTGAACAAAACACCTTATTGATTTTTATCTGCACTTCCTTCAGCTTCTGGTTGGTTAGGGAACAAACTAGCATGCTTGTGTGCCTCTGTATAGCTCTGTTTCCTGTTGCTTTGACAACAAAGCACGGCAAGGGCAGAAGAAGGATAAGGATAAAGTGAGGCGACAAATGATGGCTTCCATAGCAGATCAGAAATGGAATTTTATAGAACACAGTCAAAGGGGACAGGACACCACACCACCCTTGAAAAGAGGCTTCAATATTCTGCCTAAGTCCTTCTCGGAGCTATCCAATTAGCATTCCAGGCTACGGAGCTGTTTTTCTCCATGGTAATCAATTTTCAAGAATTACATAGAACGGCCAAGTAATTATTAATGTATGGACTGGTGTTTCTATGGGAGTTGTGGTTGAGTCTTTTCATATGTGCTTATTTCTGCAGGGATAATTTTAAAAGTGTTGGACAACAATGTATTTGCACATCAGCATATTCCCTCCTAGTAAGAGAGAAAAATTGCCTGGATTTTTGTATGAACAAACACATGTCCTGTTTTTTGATCAGTGGTCAAAGAAAGTAGAAGCCCAGCAGTAGTAAAGATGCTTTGGAAAATGAAAAACAATGAGGACTGGAGATGTTGCTGAACTACAACTTGCAGGCGGTCTAGCCATTATGGCCACAAATGAGAGTGCTTTCTAATTATCCAGCATTAGCTGGAAAGTCACCGGTTCCCCAATCTGGATAAAGGATGCTAATTTAAATTTATGCTGGTTCCATCATTTGGCTGTAAGTTTTCATGGATCATATTCTGGAACAATAAAATACAAGTTATGGCCTTCAGGATAATAATATTTCAGTTACTTGAAAAATGCTATTACCCTCCCCATCTTCACATAATCATTTTTAACAGTTTATAAATATCTAGCTCCCTTAATCTTTTATTGCAGGAAATTGCTTCCAGTTCCCAGGTCATTTTTCTTGCCCCTCTCTGGACCTATGCGAGTCTAAATATTTTTCAATTGTGATACTCAGAATAAACAACAGTATTCAAAGTAAGTCTGGTCAATGCAAAAAAGAATGAAACTATTCCTATACATCATGGGTGTCAAACTCGCGGCATCACGTTGCCGCCACATGACGTTTCATGACATTTTTCCCATTCACGGGCCTGGAGTGGACATGGCCTGTGTGTGACACATTCAGCCCGTAGGCCACTAGTTTGATACCCCCGCTATACATGATTCAGAAATTGATCAAGTCCAGATATGGTTTGCGTTTGTTTGCTATCGATGTGAATACCTACTTGTTATGGCAAAAGTTTTTCAACGACAACAGTTGACAGTTAGGGATGAGCAAGAAATACAGACCTATTATTTCTTAAGAGCACCCAAAAACTCAGTGTAGGACAAACCAGCAAGAATATTTACTGCTATGTTGATATTAAAGGATATTTTCATCCTGCCTGATTAGTATCGTCAAAAACCTAAAAACCATGGTCGTGTTTGTAGACCTACGGTAGGTGCAGCATACAACACAGTTTGGAAAAACAGTTGTTATACAGACTGTGTATATTACCCCCTGCAAAAATCTCCATTGACTGATTAATAACATGCTGAGTGATAGGTCCTGACAGATAATAATGGGGGACAACATAAGTAAGGTATGAAGATTAAACAACAGCTTCCCACAAGGCTCTGTAACAGCACCTACACCACAGGTGTTAAACTTGCTGTGTCACATTGCCGTCATGTGATGTTTTGTGAAATTTTTCCTCTTCGTGGAGCTGGGGTGGGCGTGGCATGCACGTAACGCATCCGACCTGCGGGCCACCAGTTTGACACCTCTGACCTACACTATTCAACTTATATATATTAGCTATGCTGGCAACAAGGGAATGCAAATTTGGATACACTGATGACTTGGCCACAACAGCACAAGAAAAACACATGGAGGTGGCAGGCAGTCTCCTGTCCAAAGATCTTAAATCTTGGGGAAATTCTTCACTGACTGGAGGCTTACTCCTAGCACCAGCAAAACAATATATATGTGCTTCCACCTTAACAACAAACTAGCATTTGAAATCCCAAAGGTCTACTTAAACAACTTACTTCCCTATAATCTCCATCCAAGTACCTTGGAGTAACAGTGGACCAAACTCTCTCCTATAAGATACATCCAGAGAATACAGTGGCAAAAATCAATACTAGGAACAACATACTTCAGAAATTATGTGGAACTAAATGGGGAGCCTCAGCTGCCACCCCCAGGGCATCAGCACTAGAGCTGCTCTACTTTGGAACAAAATACTGTGCCCCTGTATGGCTTAACAGCTGCCATACTAGTAAGTTAGATGCTAGATCACTCCAACTTGCTGGCTTCCTGTTCTGCACCATATAGCACCATCAGCTTTATGAAGGCAAGAGGCAGTTGTGACAGAATACAGAAAAATCACTCCTATCAATGCCCGCCGACCTTCCTCATTTATCAGCCAGAAGACTCAAATCCCATTGGCACTTTCACAACATCTGCCAGCAACTTTAACATCGACTCCCTATGGAAAGCCAAATGCGTCACTGAACATCCAGACCAGAGTGGGTTTTAGCAGGTTCTGACCAATTCTGGAGAACCGGTAGCAGAAATTTTGAATAGTTCGGACAACCAGTAGTAAAAATTCTGACTGGCCCCGCCCCTATCTATTCTCTGCCTCCCAAGTCCCAGCTGATCGGGAGGAAATGGTGATTTTGCAGTAACCTTCCCCTGGATTGAGGAAGGAATGGTGATTTTACAGTATCCTTCCCCTGGAGTGGGGTGGGAATGAAGATTTTACAGTATCCTTGCCCTGCCACGCCTACCAAGCCACGCCCACCAAGCCATGCCACGCCCACCAAGCCATGCCACGCCCACCACACCACACCCACAGAACCGATAGTAAAAATTTTTGAAACCCACCACTGATCCAGACATAGGGAGATATATAAATGACCCCACAAAAAAGGTGCCAAGCTTAGAGCTATCACACAAGCAATGGACAATCCTGAATAGGAATTGCACCTCACATGGTCTCTGCCAGGACTCACTCTATAAATGGGGCATAGTTTCCTCCCCTCAGGGTGACTGCAGGGTCCCACATCAAACTATAGATCAGATCATGTAAGCTGAGAGCATCTACCGGTTCAGTATCTGATTTTTTTATATATAAATTAGTGATGGCTAACCTTTTTGCTGTTGGGTGCCAAAAGCAGGGGGAGCGTGGGGGGGGGGGTCATGTGCACGCGTGCCCTCATCCATAATTCAATGTGTCCTGCCCCCTCACACACATGTGCGCATGACCCCATACGCTACCCCCACTTTTGGCACGCGATGGCACATTGGGCCCGGTAGGCCTGTTTTTCACCCTCCCCAGGCTCCAGAGGCTTTGTTGGAGCCTGGGGAGGGCGAAAACAGCCTTCCCCACCCCCCCGGAGGCCCTCCGGAGGCCGGAAACGGCCAGTTTCCTGACTTCCAGTGGGCTCAGAAGGCCTAAAAATCAGCTGGTCAGCGCACACATGCGCACTGGACCCGAGCTAGGCAATGCTCGTGTGCTCACAGATATGGCTCCGTGTGCCACCTATGCCATAAGTTCGCCATCACGGATATAAATGATGCTGCGCTTCAGTGGCCTAGACATTGGTATTTGAAAACAGATCTTTTTAACATTTATATTTCATTGTTTTATTAATCTAGGGGAAATATTAATATATATATTGTTAGTCCATGTATGATATGCCATATGCTAAATCAATAAATATTGCCAAAATATATTTGTACTATTTTTTTTATTTTTTTTATTACAAAGAATTCCTTAAGACAACCAGTCTCAACTCTTCAAACTCCATTTTAAAATAGAAATTGATCTAAACTTCTTTGACTATTTTCTAATCTATTTCAGATATGGGGGCAGGACTGACTGAACCAAAAGTGGCTTAGCAGAGGAATGGAGCTGAAAATCCTACCCATCTTCTTCCTCTCTATTTATTGCCTTGAAATGGCATTTTCCTACCCAAGGAAACGAGATTTCTTAGAAGTGCTTATAGTGTTCAGCTTGCATTAACTCATCATCATATGACTGATCCTGCATGACAACTCAAAACGTAAATTTGTCGTGTGTCGTGTATACCAATGAGAACTTACTTTATTCTCCACAGGTATTTCTCGATTTACAATAGTTTGTGTAGTGACCGTTCAAAGTTACAACGGCACTGAAAAAAGTGAGTTATAACCATTTTTCAGACTTACAACTGCTGCAGCATCCTCACGATCATGTGAGCAAAATTTGGACGCTTGGGCAACTGGTTCATATTTATGACGGTTGCACTGCCCCGGGGTCACATGATCACCTTTTGTGACATTCTGGCAAGCCAAGTCAATGGGAAAACCAGATTCACTTAACAACCATTTCCTTAACTTAACAACTGCAGTGATTCACAACATTTCTGTGGCAAGAAAGGTGGTAAAATGAGTCAAAATTCACTTAACAAATGTTTTACTTAGCAACAGAAATTTTGGGCTCAATTGTGGTCATAAGTCAACAACTACCTACCTGTATTCTATTATCATTTGCCAAGAAGCACAAACAACATGCTAAGTCCAACAATGCAGACTGTGAATATTAGGAACAAGACCAGCCTTGTATCTCAGATATAGTCCAAAGAAACTATGCAAATTTTCATACTGGGTTTGAATCTGGAAGTTTTGTCCAAATCCTCTCTCCTGATGATGTGGGGAAATGAGGGGCAAGGTGAGAATAGGTACCTGGCTATTTCATTGGATTTCATTGGATTCTGGTACAAAACAAAATGAAGAATCAGTGGTGTGGCAGACAAATGTATCTTGAAAACAATATTTAAAATACTGTTTGACATGGATACTTTACATTAAGTATTATTATTTGAATGTCTCAAATGTTTTTTTCCCATTAACCAAAAGTAGTTGAAGTTAAATCTTTGATGGGAAATCAATAAAATCCTGGGTGTGCTTTAAATGTTACACCCAAATCCATTTACAATATTAATACGACAATAATTCATTGGCATGCCTGCACATTTTAAAATATACAGCTATTCACTAATGTGTAAATCTTAAAATGCCTTAAAGTGCCAAAATACATGAAATAAAAAGCACTCAAATGCCATCCCCTATCACGTAATGCAGTTTTTTGCATTACTTCTTGTATCTTAATAAAAGCTGGTGTACAGCACAACTAGCAGTTTTTGCATAGTGATTTACAATATAAAGTATCCATCTTTGCTCAGTAAATATGTCCCATTAAGTACTCTGGAGTTTACACTCAGGTGACTCTATAAAAGAGAATAGTTTTAGTAAGGCCAACCTAAATGACCCAAGAAAATATATATAATAAAAATATGAAAACAAGTAGCTCAGATTTCTGAATCTCCTGACAAGACAGTTTTTGCAATGCTTATGTCAACAAACTGTGAAACAGGAGGAGAATAAAAAAAGGTGGGAAAGACCAGCTGTGCCTAAGACCTCCAGGTTGCTGTGTTGGCAATCAATTCATATTTATCCATGACTAGTAATTTCCATATAATTTAGCACCAATTTCTGTGAAAAATAAAAACACATGCAAAAACTTCAAATGAATAGCTCACCACTTAAAAGGCATCGGGCAGCAATTGGAACGTTTTGTCCTTAAAGGAATGTTGGTGAAATTCTAAACAGGCTTACAGAGGAGATGGGAAAGTTTTATGAGGAATACTGAACTGTTTGGGAGTGTCTCTCTCCAAATAAAGCAGGATGGTTGTGCGACAAAAATTGATTGGTAATATCCAGACTAGCCCTTTGTCTTCCATACAGCAAAGAGATGGCTTTTCTCCTGCTTGAGGGGTGG